TCTGTTCCAGATTTTTCTTCATCCGCTCCAGGTGGGCGCTGGTGTCCTGCTCCTTCTTTAGTTCTTCAGCCATCATGGCAGCCTGGTTAGGGTCAAAGGGAATGTCAAAGGGCTCTCTGTCAATCCTTCCTTACAGCACAGGAAGAAGTGCCTGACGATACTGCTGACACTACCTCCCTCGGGCATTGCTTGTGACTTTTTTTCTCCATCTTATCTCTACTAAGGATCCATCTCATTCTCTCTCCAAGAAGTTATTACTAACTAATTTTGTGGATTTTTTTTTAATGATCACAGTGAGAAACAGTTACAGACTTACAAATTTTTGTGATTACATTTCAGTCATAGAATGATCGAGTACCCATCCCTCCACCAGTACCCATTCTTCACCATCAACATTCCTAGTATCCCTCCCACCACCCCCACCCCACTCCACCCCCATCTCTGAGGCAGGTACATTCCTTCTCTCTCTCTCTCTCTCTCTCTCTCTCTCTCTCTCTCTCTCTCTCTCTCTCTCCTTTTGAGTGATATAGTTTGCAATACAGGTACTAAGCAGCCATCATATTTGGTCCATAGTCTACTTTCAGCAAATATCTCCCATCCCGAGCGAGCCCCCCAAGTATCATTTATTTAGTGGTCCCTTTTCTATCCCAACTGCCTTTAACTGTGTGGTTCTTAAGGACAAGAAATATGTTAACCATACCCAAGTACATTAAACTCTTTATTATCTCCAAAAATCTGTAAAGAAAAAAAGAGCTTACATCTGTGATGGCCTTCTTGGCCTTCTCCTCTGCATTTCTGGAATCCTGGATGGAGTTCTCCATCTCTGCCTGGCACTGGGACAAGTCAGCTTCCAGTTTTTTCTTGCTATTTATTAGGACTGTGTTCTGTCAGAAAAATTAGGGACCAGGGAATTTTATTATATTTGGAACCTTTAAAAATTGAACCAGGAGGGGCCGGAGCGATAGTAAAGAGGGTAGGGTATTTGCCTTGCACGTGGCTGACTTGGGTTTGATCCCCGGCATCCCATATGGTACAGGAGTGATTCCTGAGTGCAGAACCAAGAGTAACCCCTAGCATCACTGGGTGTGGCCCAACAAAAGAAAAAAATTGAACCAGGAGAATTGGGCAGAGAGAAAACCAAATAATAATGATACTTATTTAATATTTTTCTCAAGAATGATATGCTATAAATTATTTAATTCTTGTTGGTGCAGAAATTTCTGAAACAGACCCAAACATTATACATGTAAGATTGAATAAATCATAAATGTAGAAATTAAAATAGTTAGGAATGATAGATCATTCAAATAATAGATGATGAAATAAAGAAAGTATAGACAGGTTAATCCTGGGAATATTAATAATAGTCATAAATAGAATTGTAAAAGTGGTAACAAATTATAAAATATTTGCAATTACAATACTGAAAGTATATTCCCTTATTTACGTATAATGAGGCAAATCAATTAGAAAAGGGGCAAAATTAGCATAAATAGGTAATACAAACTAGAAGAAACACAAAGGAGTAAAAATATCACGAGATATTCCACTGCACTAGTAATCAAAGAGATAATTTTTAAAGTGCTCTTTATCAGTTATCTGGGGAAAGTGTAAATCAAAGAAGTTTGTCATTTCACACCAGAGAGACTGGAAAAAAGAAAAAAAATAATAAATAACTAGTGCTGGCATAGATGTGGGAAAAATGGTGGGAATGTTGGTAGGAGTGTTGACTGATTCAGTATTTCTGGAGAAAAAGTATGAAGATTTCTGAAAACGCATAGAATCAAGCTTCCATATGACTCAGCAACTCAAATTATTGCCATCTAACACCAGGGTCATCAAATCATCCAAATTCTGTTTTGAAAAGACATTTGTGCTTTTTTTTTTTTTTTGCTTTTTTGCTTTTTGGGTCACACCTGGCAATGCACAGGGATTACTCCTGACTCTACACTCAGGAATTACTCCTGGCGGTGCTCAGAGGACCATATGGGATACTGGGATTCGAACCTGGGTTGGCTACGTGCAAGGCAAACTCCCTACCCTCTGTGCTATCGCTCCAGCCCCAAGACATTTGTGCTCTTAGTGTTCACTGCAGCATTATCCAAAATAGTCAAGAAACAGCCCAAGTGCATTAGAACAGATTAGTGGATAAAGAAAATATGGTATATACACACAATATAATATTCCTTAGCTACAACAGTCTTACCATCTAACCACAGAAAGATACCTATACTCATATCCTCTTTCCCCCCCCCCCCCATTTTCATTGAATAACCATGAGATGCACAGTTAAAAGTTGTTCAAGATTGGGTTTCAGTCATATGATGTTCCAACACCCATCCCTTCACCAGTGTATATTTCCCTCCCACCACCCACCCCGGCCCACCCTGCTTTTATGGCAAACACCTTTCTTCTCTCTCTCTCTTCCTCTCTCTCTCTCTCTCTCTCTCTCTCTCTCTCTGTTTTCTTTCAGGCATTGTGGCTTGCATTACAGGTACTGAAATGTTATCATGTATATCACTTTATCTCCTTTCAGCACTCAGTTCTTGTCCACAGAGCTGAGCTTACCTGAGTGTGAGGGTCTTTGAGACATTGTGAAGTTAAGTGGGCATTCCTGTGGCTGGTGTGATGTTGAAATGATGTATACATGAAACTTTCATCAATAGTATTATAAATCATGGTATCTCAATAGGGGAGAATACCCCGAGATGGAATTGAATGACTTTAAAAAATGAGCAATTATTTTAAAAGACAATCTTAACCTCCCATGACGCAGTTTAAATGTTCCTTTCTCTCCCACTCCCTTTATGCAATGCCATTCTTCCTTGTTCTGATAAACATCTCCCCCTTTCCCCCCCATACTTTTCCATTTTCAGCTTAAAGGAAAGGTTACGAATCTGTTTGTCCAGAGTAAGACTTATTTCAGGCAGTAAACAATATCATTTGGTGCTGACTGCTGGTATGGTCCACGTAGTGCTCCATTCCGCAACCCAGGTGGGGATCCTGCGGCCCGGGGGTCCCTATCTGAAAGCAGGTACACTCACTTGGGCGTGCAGGAGCTGCACCCGCTGACTGGCGTCCAGCAGCTCCTGCTCCGAAAGCCTCCGGGTCCGCTCCGTTTGCTCCAGGGCCGCCTTTATCTCCTCTAGCTCCTCCAGTAAGAGACCATTCCTGCGCTCCACAGCGGCCAGCTGCTCCTTGAGGTCCTCATTGCTCCTCAGGGTGTCATCCAGGTGTAGCTGGGAATCCTTTGGGCAAAAGCTCATCTTAGTCCAGCACCCAGGTTTGGCTGAGAAAGCAGCGAGGCCATCACAGGCTGTTTGCTCACCTTGAGCTGTCCTTGGACGGTGCGCAGGTTTTTCTGGGTCTCTACCACCTGGCGATTGGAATGGCACAGCCGAATCTCCATCTCGTTGAGATCTCCCTCCATTTTCTTCTTCAACCTCAGGGCATCATTGCGGCTCTGGATCTCAGCCTCCAGAATACTCTGTGTGGCCTCTGCTGCCCTCTGATTATTTCGTTTCAGTTGCTGAATCTCTTCATCCTTCTCAGTAATTTTGTGGTCAAATTCAGATTTTACCTGATTTAACTCAAGCTGAACACGCAAAATCTTGCTCTCTTCATGTTCCAGGGAACCCTTAAATAAGTAAAGTAACAACAGTGTATGTTATGGGTCTAATGATGAGATGCTACTGAGACTCTGTGCTGCTGAGGACCACAAGAGCAACCCTTGATGCTCTGGGACCCTGCAGTAGTGTGGGGGGGGGGGCAGTACTCAGGGATTGAATCTGGCCCTCCTGCATTCAAAGCATGCAGGTCTGGCCCCTCAGCTATCTCCCAGCCTCTGAACAACCCTCTAATTGAATGACCATTTTCATGCTTATCATGATAAGAAAAAGTTCTTCTCTATCTGAGCTTCCTTTTTCCCTAGCACGTGTGGCTGGCCTCCAAGTCATGGAGCAAAATTCCTGGGATGTTGTGAGGATCCTCCCAGGGTGGGAGAAGCATGCTGAAAGTAGTCTATAGACCAAACATGATTGCCACTCAATGCCTCTCTTGCAAAACACAGTACCCAAAAGAAGAGAGAGAGAGAACAAGGGGGAATGCCCTGCCACAGAGGCAGAGTGGGACGGGGGGCATGGGGGGTGGGAGGGATGCTGGGACCCGTGGTGGTGGAGGATGGGAACTGGTGGAGGGATGGGTACTTGATCAATGTATAACTGAAACCCAAGCACGAAAATTTATAAGTCTATAACTGTACCTCATGGTGTTTCACTAATAAAAAAAAGAAAAAAAGTTCTTATATTCTTGTACACATGTCTTAGATAAGTACAGCAATTTTTAAAGATAAAACTTTCTACTTTCAATGTTCCCATCAGTTATGAAACAACTTAAAATTTATATTTGTTATTAATAAATAATATTGTGTCTTAAAGGAAATAGAGCACACTTTTAAATCGGTAAACATTTTATTGTGTCTGTTTAATTAAATTAATTTTTTTGAGAGATCATGTGGTGCTGGGGGTTGAACTTGTACCTTCTATGCACTCCAGTAAATTGAGTTGTCCCTCGGCCCTTTGTGTCTTTTTTCATAGTGACCATACCTTAAGGACCAGCCAAGTATCCACAGGGATTGAGCACTTGCTATTCTCTTTTTTCTGTTATGATAATTACCCAGAAACATATCAGTCACCTGCTCTGCACTGACCCTGAATGTATCAGTGTGTTACACATCCTACGTCAGGACAATGCTTTCTTCATAGAGAATTCCTAATAGATACGGGCTGTGGTGTATGATGTTAAAACTGAAGGAGCAGAGAGATGGTGAGCTGTTAGGACATTTACCTGGCATGTGTTGGACTTAGGTTTAATCCCTGAGCATCGCTAGAAGTGAACTCTGAGCACAGAGCCAGTAGTAAGCCCTGAGCACTGCTAAGTATGGGCCTCCCCTTTCCCCCTGCAATCCCCCCCAAAAAACACAACCTGACGGTTAATTTTTTTGAAATATGGAACACTTCATGAATTTCATGTCATCCTTGAGCAGGGAACACGCTAATCTTCTCTATACTATTCCAGGTTTAGTACGTGTGCTGCTGAAGCGAGCACAAGGTGAAGAAGTCTGAAGCACCTTTCAAGATGTTTGCTGATTGATTTCTTACTTACTAGAAAAAGACATTGGAGACACATTCAATTTATTTCAAAAGGGTAAGTGTGGTGAGGTGGAGCAGGGCTTCTTAAATTTTTCCACTTACAACCGCTTTTTGCTTTTCTCTCAGGCTCCTTTCTGCAACATGAACTTACTGTTGCCAGAAATAGCTGGGATTCAAAATTCAGTTGAGTTTGAATTCTTGGTTGATATATATTCAAAAATCCTTTACTGTTGAAAAATGTTTCTGTGACTCCCCCACAACACATTCCTTTAGAATAGTCAATGTGGGATTACAACCCACAGTTTAAGAAAGTAGGGACAAAAGAACACCTAGAAGATGAATCCGAGGACACTAGGATTCCCACAGGCACCCAGAATTCTTCCCTGGGAAATTTCAGCCTCTCCCAGTGGTCCTCCCTCCTCCAGGATTCAGGCTTCTTGTGCACCCACTGTCACACCCTACATACTTGCCTCCACCTCTTCTAGTGCAGCCTGGAGATCTGACTTTTCTTGTTCCACCTGCTTCTTGTTTTTTTCTAGTTCCTGAAGATTCTTGCCAGTTTCTGCAATCTGCTCTGTTAAATCAGAAATCTCTTCTGCAAAGGAAGGGCTCAATTTAGGTTGCTTTATCTGGCAATACATGAATTTGCCAGGAAGTATAGGGGTTGGTGATTCATTCTAGACACTTATACAGGAAAAAAAAAAACAGTGATGCCCATCGGGTGCAGTATTGACATAGAACAGATAATTGTGTTGTTTACCTGAAATTGAATGGTATGAGCTGAAAATTTCGTAGAGTATATATGAAATGCTCACAAAGAATACCAAAGAAGATATAGTGGAGGTATAGTGCACAGAATAATACATAGTCTTGGGAATTGAAAGAGCTTAGGAGGCATTTGGTGTAATCTAATTTTGAGGTCAGGGGTCTGAAGTCTAAGGGATTTCACATGTCCAAGGACAAAACTGTTTGAAAGAGAACCCCTGGAGGGTCCTAATTTCTAATACTGCAACCCAAATTCTCAAGAACATTTATTTTAGCAGAGCAGAATTAAGAGTAAACCAAGTCTATATGAGGATTTTGTGAAGTGGTGGGAAGCTGGAAGCTTTTGGAGGTGGATAGTGGCCAAATGGGGAGTTGGGGTTGGAGAAAAATCACACACTGCCGCAGGGAGAAAAGTCACCTTGCAGATTTTTATTCTCCTGCCTCATCATCTCTAATTGGTTCACCACCTCCTCATAGGCATTCCGCATCTTGAAAATTTCAGTACTCAGTGACCTGGACTCTTTCTGAGCAGCTTCCAACTCAGCTTGACTCTCACGTAGCTTTTGTTTCCACTCAGCAAGGACCTAAGGAATGACAAAGGGGCATGCAAGGAGAAGATAGCACTGAGAGATTTGTAAGTATGTGTGAAAAAAGGAGCATCAGCAAGCCACAGATTTACCCTTCTATCCTGAGGGATTCAAAAAATGAGAGAGTGGGTCCCATGGGCCCAAGGTGTGCTTTTCCTATACAACATCATTCTATATGTATATTACATGTAGTGACTATCACATATCATATATAGGTATATACATATATATAAACATATATTCCATGTAGGTACACACACAAACACACACATATATGACTTGCATATATATATACAACCCATAGACTCGCACATATATACATATATATGTATATATATATATATATCCAATCCATAACCAACCCATGCAAGACACTCTGTCTACTTATTCTATATTTTTAAGGATGTTTTGATTTCAAAGTGATCTGAATTAGCTTTAACTAAAAATGAAATCCTCTTTGGAGGGCTTGTCACAAAACTAAAGAGATACTCGATGCCCAAACCCACCATTTGGGCTTAGGGCCCTAGTGGATTGACCAAAGTGTGTATGCATCTCACTCTTCTATATGTGGAGACCGTTTGGCCCCTTTATCTGATTTGGGGAAACATTTTGGGGAAAACCTTGTCGAAACTCCTCTGTTTCTTGTCCAGGGTGTTACAGGCTGTGGTGGCCCGCTCCAAGTCTAGTGTCAGGTCGTTCACTTCTCCCTGCAGCCTCTGCTTGGTCTTCTCCAAGGAAGCGCACTTGGCGCTCACTGCCTCTGTGTTCTCCTCTGCTTCTTGGAGCCTCTGGGCCAGTTTTTTCCTAAGAGAATCAGACTTTGTTGTATCTTGGCAAAGATGAGGTGTTTCAAAAGTAGCATATCAAAAAAAAAACCAAATTGTACAAAGAATGGAATTTATAAAATCAAGACCTGAAGTTTGATGGATAGAGAACATTTAAGTATCACCTGAGGAATCCTCAAATGCTTGGTGGAAAGCAGTCATCAAGGAAATCAGGTGGGGGCACTGGAGCAATAGCACAGCGGGTAGGGCATTTGCCTTGCAGGCGTCTGACCCAGGTTTAATTCCCAGCATCCCATAGGGTCCCCCAAGCACCGCCAGGAGTAATTCCTGAGTGCAGAGCCAGGAGTAACCCCTGTGCATCACCGGATGTAAGCCAAAACAAAACAAAACAAAACAAAACAAAAAAAGGAGACCAGGTGGAATGAACAGTTTCCCAAGGGAAGACCATGGAGAATATAACTGCTTAAAACTAAGTCTGGAAGATTTTCTCAAGGTCCTGGAAGATATCCTCAAGGTGGAAGGAATTTTCTGTTCCACTACCTGTGCTTCAGTGTCAAGCCCTCTGCTATAACCCTAGATCCCGTACTTGGCCTCCTCGAGCTCCTCTGTGCGCTGGATGGCATCCGTCTCATACTTGGTCCTCCACTGGGCAACTTCACTGTTGGCCTTGGACAGTGCTCTCTGCAACTCAGCCTTGGCTTCCTGCTCCTCCTCATACTGTTCCCGAAGCAGGTCACAGTCGTGGCGGGAGGACTGCAGGGCGTGGGCCAGGGCATTCTTGGCCTATAAAATGACAGTAGTAATAGAATGTATGAACATTTGGCTATTTCCTAAAAGAATTTAGTATTTTTATTTAAACTGACATTCCTCAGTTCAACTCAACCCCAAGTTCTCTTTACAAACTTGACATAAAGTGGTTGTGTTTTATAATTTTATAATTTTAAGTTGTCTATTTTCTTATATACTTAATTCTTCCATTTAAATATTTATTTTACTATAAGCAGTAAAAACGATAGAAAATAAAAAGTAACCAATTTTTCCACTTACTAAAGGTTATAAGAATAAGTGCAGTGAAAGAAAAGCAATGTTATAATCCTCTTAGGTGGCTTGCCACTGTGCATCTGTGCCTTAGGCCTATTGTCAATGGCTTTAATAAGAAAAACAAGCAAGTTCTAGGGATGGTATCTGAACTGATGTCTCTTCCTTCATGTAATCAAAGTAATTTGTAACAGAATTAGAATGTCTAAAGTGTCTTTGGAAATACCAGCGCTGTGTTTTCAAAGCTCTGTCTTCTTCCCAAGTAGCAGAGACCATGCTCAGAACTTCTGTTACTCACTCCCATAGGGTCAGGAGGTAGTGTCGTTTATAAAGGGCAGAAAATATTTTCAGGTAATGCCAACAAAGACTATCTTGTGAAATATGATGAAAGTATACTCATCCTTTAAAAGCTATAAATAAACAACCAAAATGGTTCCAAGAATAAAACTTTACTTGCTGTTATAAAATGGTTAGTAACAGTCTCACTTTCATTCTTTTTCGTTTTGACTTTGGGGCCATCCCGGCAATGCTCGGGGTTTACTTCTGAGTCTGCACCCAGGAGGCTCTGTACTCCTGCTTGTGCTTTGGGGACCATATGGGATGTCGGGAATCAAATCCATGCCAGTCACATGCAAGGTGAGTACTCTACCTGCTGTACTATCACTCCAGCCCCTGGTTTTGGTTTCAAGGCCACACCCAAGAGAGTTCAGGGATTATTCTTGGATCTGCCCTTAAGAATCACTCCTGGAATGCTTTGATGGACCTTATATAGTGCTAGGGGTGGACCCAAGATTGGCTGTGTGCAAGGCAAGCTCCTTATACTCTGGACTATCTCTCTAGTCCCCAGCATCACATTTGTAATGGACTTTTTTACACTTTTGCTCAGAATTCCACTCAACATAACTCCTACCTCTCGGTTCACCAAAGTCTTTGTCATATATCTAAAAGTTGAAAGACAAATAGATTGCTTAGTGTTTTTCAGATTGTGGACCTTGGGGACTGTGGTGTGTGTGTGTGTGTGTGTGTATGTATGTGTGTGTGTGTGTATTCCAAAAGCAGTCCAGGAAATTTTGAATGGTGCATGATAATCTTCAGAAGCACATGTATGCATTTTTATGTACTGCTGGATTCCTGTTTCTAATGCTTGAAGATGCACTGGCAATTATTACTCAGTGCCTATCAAACATACTACCAAACAAAAATATCTAGGCATTGAAATAAAAACCTTGATGGCAATTTATGCATGTCCTACAGTTACCCTTTAAACCTAAAGTGTCTTTATATAAAAAGTAGAAAAATCTGTGTTGGCAAGGATGTGGTGTAAAAGGAAATCTCATCCAGTGTTAGTGCGAATGTCATCTGGCTCAATTCCTGAAAAAACAGTTTGGAGAGCTCTCAGTAAATCTAGAATTGCTCTGTCGTATGACCCAGCAATCCTACTCCTGCATATACACATCCAGGACCTAAAAAAAGACATATGCACACCACTATTCATTGCAATAGCTAAGGATAGATCAAATGGGTTCTGAATATGTGGTATATATATATAATATGTACTTCAAGGAATGATGAAATCATGCTATTTGGATGAAATCATGCAACCTGGATGAAACTTAAGATATCATGTTGAGCGAAGTATGCCAGAAGAAGGACAAATACAGGATGATCTCACTTATCATGCACCCAAACATTTAGCTTTGAAGTATAATACCATATCAGCATTTCTGGTTCAAATGAATTTTGCTATTCTTAAGTTGACATTCAATCACTAAAAATTTTGT